CATTTTTCTAACGATGCTAATTTAGGATGCCGTCACTATCAATACATATCCTTTCTTTGGCTTTGTGTTTATCATCTGGATTTCAACAAGGATATATAGCGTCCGTGCTTAATCAGCCTTATTTACAAATGCAACGATTCATAAATGATTCTTGGTTGGTACGTACCGGATCTCCGATGAAGCTGTCGACCTTGGTGAGTTTACCACAATGTATTAGTCATTCAAGATAGAAATCAGTTGAGAAGTGCTTTGCAACAAAAAATAAGTCTGGTTCTTTGGAATCGCATGAAGAAATACATCGAAGCATAACGTAATTATTTGGTTGATGCACAATTATTGCATTAATAGAATCGTCTTAAGCATTTCTAAACAAACTAATCAGACACTGCCTGCCTTCTGCTATGTATACCAGAGGTAGTATTGTAATAAATTCTAACAAATGATTTTGAAACGATATCAAATCAAGTTAAAAAAAACCCTTTACTATTTGTAGAGATGTCCAATCAATCCCATCTTTATTGTTGGTCAAAAAGTGTAGGTCACAAAACCAAGACCAAAACAAATTTAGATGTAATAATAATTTAGCAAAACTGAAAAAAATCACTTTTTGGGCATTCCTTTTGATCAGCTCATATCGTTGCCATATGAGATCAAAGAATTCTAATTCAAGCACATGCGAAAAGCGCAAGAATTCCTCTCTCTCTCACAAAAAAATTGCTATTTGATTTGCTTCAAATAGAAAACTTTATTAAACCTGAAGAAAATGAAGTCAAAAAATTTTGGTGCAAATATGCATCAACTCAATCTAAAAGGATAACAGTAGCTCAACTGATTTATATGAACGTAACACGCTTCTAAACTTACTCCTTGTTTGTTTTCAAAACAATTTCTCTTTTCAGGATATGATGTGGTCGTTTCTTAACGTCTGCTTCCCGATAGCCATGATTTTTGGTCAGCTCCTGGCAGCGATCATGTGTAAAAAGATTGGCAGAAGGGGTACCGCACTAGTGGCAACAGCAGTTTATGTGCCAGCAACCTTGCTTAGTGCAGGGGCTAAAATGTGCCATTCTTTCGAGTTACTGTATGTGGGACGAATACTTTGGTAAGCTGACAAAGCAGTAGGGGAAACCAGGGAGATGAAGCTCAAGCGCATTATTCATCAATTAGGTCATTGGCGAATGGTGTAAGCAGTGTTAATGCTACTGTATGGATTGTCGAATGTGCTCCTCCGCAGATACGAGGGCGAATGGCAGCTATGCAGGAGTTCTTTATGGCTGCAGGTACAATTCCTCATAATACGTCGAAGAGGTCCCG